ATGTCAAGGGAACGTACGTCTCCATACACAGCTCTGGCTTCCGTGATTTTCTGCTAAAACCAGAAATTTTGCGTGCCATTGTCGACTGTGGCTTTGAGCATCCTTCCGAAGGTAAGTGCTCCTCTACTGCGTGTTGACTGGTACAGTTTTTCACGACTTGCACACTCAATTGCAGTTCAGCACGAGTGTATTCCGCAGGCTGTACTCGGCATGGACATTCTCTGTCAGGCCAAGTCCGGTATGGGCAAGACGGCTGTCTTTGTGCTCGCCACACTGCAGCAGCTGGAGCCCGCAGACAACAATACCTGTCATGTATTGGTAATGTGTCACACACGCGAGCTGGCATTCCAGATTAGCAAGGAGTATGAACGTTTCTCCAAGTATATGCCCACAGTCAAGGTAAGTTTGAGTCACGGTAAAAGGGTCGTATCTTTGGTTATACTTACCATTTGGTTATTTTAGGTGGCAGTGTTCTTTGGTGGTTTGGCCATACAAAAGGATGAGGAGACCCTCAAGAGCGGCACGCCCCATATAGTCGTTGGCACCCCAGGCCGCATTCTGGCCCTGATACGCAACAAGAAACTGAATCTGAAGCATTTGAAGCATTTTGTACTCGACGAGTGCGACAAGATGCTGGAGCAGCTAGGTAAGTTTTCAGCAAAGATTTCCGAACTGTAAATATAATTTCTAATTATTTTGTTTTCCCCCTACCCACAGATATGCGTAGGGATGTGCAGGAAATTTTCCGTAGCTCACCGCACGGAAAGCAAGTGATGATGTTCTCTGCTACATTGAGCAAGGACATACGTCCCGTGTGCAAAAAGTTTATGCAAGATGTAAATATCAACGTGTTAATAGCCCAACAACAACTGCTCGTACTTCTCCTCGCATCCACTGCTATCACGACAATTAGTTATTATTTTTGTAAACTCTATTCAGTATCGATTCGTAACCGGTACAACCTCCTCCACAATTGCTACATAAGCCACAACACCATATTTGTAAATGGTTAAACGCGTAAATCTACCCCAAAACGATCAAAGCTCGTGTGAGCATAACAAAAACCAAAATCAATGTTAGCCGAATGACTGCCATAAACCATTTTCTAAATGGTTAAACGCGTTGAATGCAATCGTAAATGAAATATAACATAAACCAAATGCATCCTTCTGCAATACGCGAAACAATTCAAACGCCTAATCGCAATGATTTAACAACCATCGAAACGGAAAACAAAAAACCAATATAACAAAAAAAGAAAGAACGAAAGAGAGCAACAGCTGTGGACTGGTTATGAGAGATGAGAGAGAATGCCGCTCAACTGCAAGCTGCACACTTCACTTCACGCCGCAGAGTGATTGATTGATTGATTGATTGTCTATCTATGTCTTCCGGGAGCAGTCCCGGCACGGTCCAGAGTACTACTAGTTGATGAGATATGATATGGTGGTAGCGTGGCCGTATGTAGAAAATTCTAAACATATTTTGTTGTATGTTTTGAGGCGAGCCTAGTTTTAGTTGCATTCCCTTTCACCACCTCTAATTGTTTTCTCTTTAAAATGTGTTGCGCCACATTCTATTTCCCATATATCTAGCCCATGGAGGTGTATGTCGATGATGAGGCCAAGCTGACGCTGCACGGTCTGCAGCAGCATTACGTCAATCTCAAGGAGAACGAGAAGAACAAGAAGCTGTTCGAGCTGCTCGATGTGCTCGAGTTTAACCAGGTATAACGGAACGAACTGCACAGCCAGGTTATTCCCCGATGCTCACACACTTTGAGGTGTTTTCCTCCCTTCCCCAAAGGTGGTTATATTCGTCAAGTCGGTTCAACGTTGTGTGGCCCTGTCGATGTTGCTTACGGAGCAGAATTTCCCAGCCATTGGCATCCATCGGGGCATGACCCAAGAGGAGCGACTGAATCGGTATCAGCAATTCAAGGATTTCCAGAAGCGTATTTTGGTGGCCACAAATCTGTTTGGCCGTGGCATGGACATTGAGCGTGTGAATATTGTCTTCAACTATGACATGCCCGAGGATTCCGACACTTATCTGCATCGTGTGGCCCGTGCGGGTCGTTTCGGTACCAAGGGACTGGCCATCACCTTCGTTTCGGATGATAACGATGCCAAGATACTTAACGAAGTACAGGATCGTTTCGATGTCAACATTAGTGAGCTCCCAGAGGAGATTGACTTGTCCACATACAGTAAGTTGTCGCAACAACACTTAATATGATTTGTTCAGATTTTACATCATTATTTTTGTATCTTTTCCAGTTGAGGGACGCTAGAACTTTTAAGAGTGCATAGGAATTCCACGGACACCACCCAAGAAAAACGAAACAAGTGCACATTGAATAGATACAAATAAAACCTAAACCCCCTAAATCTTTTATAAAACTCTACTTTATAACTAAATAAAAACAAAAACCTTTCAGACGAACACTAATCCGTATTGTTATGTGTTCCTGTCTGCACAAAATTCTGCAGAAATCGCCAGCCGGAACAGACTGGAGGGAGGACTGGAATAGTTTTGCGACATGCGCAATAGATAGGGGGCTTCCGGCTTGGGCTGGCGGTAGGCAGCAGTGAAACGGAAGGAGAAAAACATCAGTCAGACCAAACGCGACCTCAAAAACGGAATGTGAGGGGAGAAAAAAAAATGCAAATGGCAAACGAAAATGTTGCTAAAAAAGTATGTGAAAACGCGACGCAAGGTGAAGATTGTACTGCTGCTGGCGATTGTGGGTCTGCTGGTAATCACCATCATTGTGCTAGGCTCCACGGGCCGCAATGCTGCCATCGAGCTGCTGCTGGACGAACGATTTATTGCACGGGCGTATCGGCCTGGTGACAATCAGCAGCCGCAGACATTGCAGGGGCAAAAACCACAACCGGCTGTGGCGGCGGCGGTGGCTCTGCTCCAGCCGCAGCGTGAGAATGGTGTAATTGTGCCGGAAAAGTATAATGAGCATAAGATCAAGGCTCGCATCATACAGAACCGACTGGACCAGATCAAGCAACAACAGCAGCACGACCACGAGGCCGAGCAATCGCGCACCACACTGGAGGTGGCCACCACAGCTGTGCATATTTTCTACACCGCCCCAGTGCCCTGGTACAAGTCCAAGAAGCCCCCGCCACCGCCCGCTGAGCATCCGTATGATGTGCCCCTGACGACAACACCAAAGGCGGTGCGAATACTCAACACTGCCTTCTATCCGGCCTTGGGTCTGTACAAGCCCAGCGTCTCGTTGCTCTCACAGCACTTTGAGAACATACGCAGCTGCGGCATTGGCGTGCTCATACTCAGCTTTACGGGCAGCGGCTCGGGCAAGCCGACGGAGACGGCTCTCCTCCATCAAATCATTGAGCTGGCACCGCAGCATAATCTGACTGTGACCTTTGAGGTGAGCGTGGCCGGCAATCAGAGTGTGGAGTATGTGCGCCAGCATCTGCAGGAGATTGCAACCTTCGCCAGCCTGCCCGGTTTCTATCGGGTGTGGAGTCAGTCGCGAGGAGCAGCCATGCCCGTGCTGTATGTGAGCAATGCCTACAAGCTGAGCGACAGCCTGGGGCGACTTCTATGCCGCACACCTGGCCAGGTGGAGCCCGATGGACTAAGGCGCGTGTTGGATGGTTTCTTTATAGGCCACATAAGGTAAGCAGGCACTCTAGTTCCTGTTCCAGCTGCGGTCGTTAATTGAAATATCCTCCATAGACTCAAGAGTCATGCGGATGTGATGCGTCGGTTGTGCTTCGATGGCTTCTACAGCAAACTGCCCAGCAATGGAGCTGTATTTGCCAGCACCTGGAAGAACTGGTCATATCTGAAATCCTTTGCCCAGTCCTACAAAATGATGTTTGTGCCGACAGTGGGTCCAGGGTTTGCGGAAAGAAATAAGTTCCCACGTCATGGGGACATACAGAGGCATCGCAGCAATGGACGCGTAAGTGGGAGAAGTCTCGGTTGCAGAATGGATATTGGAACCCTTTACCTTCCTTTTTCAGTATTATGGCGTGGCTTGGCGTTCGGCTATACTGAATCATGTGGGATTCATCAATATAGCGAGCTATAACAATTGGCCCGATGGAAGCCAGATTGAGGAGGTGATGCCGCGTGCCGGTTTCCTGGACTACAATCCTGGTTCGAGGACCAAGTACTTGGATCTCACGGCCCATTGGGTGGGCAATTTTCTGAAGACACGCCAGGAGGCGGCTGCAGCAGCCGCACCCGGCTCGCCACAGAACTGTTATGAGCTGCTCAATGGCACAATTTGCTAAGAAAAAGCTTCCATTAATGGATAATACTAGTGCAAAGTCGGTATTTACTTTAGAAGCAATATAGAACATCTATAGATTGCAGGCCACACAATTACTTTTCATAGCCATATATCGGGTCAACTATTACTTACAAATATACATCACATATACATAAATATATATTATATATATATAGAGAGATCAAGCAATATATCTTTAAGTCTTTAAGTAGTGATTAACAATTAGTAAACGGATTAAGTATGCTCAAATAATATCTAATAGCTGGAAGAGCCACAACACATTTTTTGGAAACTTTATTAGCTTTCGATTATTGTAACAATAATAAGGGAACGATGGGAGAATGAAGGAACAACAATATCATAAACATAACTCCATGCCATAATATATAGAAAATCAAATCAAATGTTATATCGGGATATTATACTAAAAACAAACACTTGTTAAACAATTGGTACTTGACAAATTTTAACTTTATTACAAGTAAACAAATATATTATTAAATTACTTTATCTAAGCTTTAATAGTTTAGTGCCAAAGAAACACGAAGAATGAGCTTAATTTTATGGTACTTAATTTTCATTCAGGAAATTTGTGCGGATGCGATTTTCCGATATTGATTATTTCATGTCCCTGGTTTGGTGCTGTCATTAAGGCTGTCATTAAAGCTGTCAAAGGTGTTCCCTTCTAACCCACGTGGGCTCGTTACGTTTCGTTGCTTGAATTTTATTTTCCTGCTAATTTTTGCAAAAATGAATCCGTTTCCCTGTGGCATGACAAAATTCGTAGATGCCCCGGCGAAAGCGGCAACAGGACGTCGCCAGCCGCGAGCACCAAAGCAACCAAAGGATGCCACCAAGAAGGGTTGTGCGTGCAAACGTACTTCGTGCATTAAGAATTACTGCGACTGCTATCAGTCCATGAGAACTTGCCATGAGTTTTGCAAATGCCTTGGTAAGGCCACATCAGCACATCAAACCCTTTTCCCTTATAGCATTCTATCACTCTACCCACTCAGATTGCAAGAATACGGTGGAGCGTCCCATGGTTAACGAAATTCCACCGAAACATTCCAGGCGACAGCGTGCCTCGGCAGTGAATGCCAAAGCAGAGGCTGCAGCTCTCAGGGCTGGCATAAAGCCGGCAAAAGGAGTTGCTTCTGCTGTTTTTCCAGCCCAAGAAATAAACATGCCTCCAGAACAGCCCATTAGCATGCTACGCACAGCACCAAAGTCCACGCCTATAAAACGGCTGTCGAACAAGCCATTGCAAGTGCCAAAGCCGCCACAGCAGCGGTTAATGCATTTATCAAATGAAGCGCCTCAACATTTTCTCCCAGCTCCCAAGTGTCGCTCAGATCAGGATAGGTTGATGAGCCAGCCATGGAGTTCCTCTACGCCACGGCCAACAGCAGTAATCATGGCCTCGCCACGTAGCTCCAAGCCCAAGCAGCCAGAGAAGGAGAAAAAGGAAGAGCAGAAGCCTAAGGAACTGAATCTGTTCAATCAGCCCATCAATATGACTGTGCTCCACTGCATGCTGGTTCAGGCAATAGAGGCGGAGCAGCTGGGATTGCAAGAGTTACAAGTGGGCCAAATGGTACTTTCCGAATTTGTACACGGTCAGAAGCTCATTTACGCTGCCTCATGTGACAAGAAATGATTGCTTAATGATTGTATTTACAATTTTGAAATGCATAATTTTCGAATTAACAATTAACTAAGTCTTTTGTGGCAGGCCAAAACTTGGCCCTGAGCTACCAGTCGGGTGGATGAAAGATCAACTCCGTTACCAGCATATCGCAGCTGTTTCTACGCTGCCCACGACTCGACCCTCCGGCTGCTGGTGTGCCACTCTTGTGCCGCTCCAATGGCAGCTCATTGTCACTGTCGCTTTCACCCTCTGCAGTTCCAGCAGCATCCTCCTCCTCTTCATCTGTATCGGCATCAGACTCAGCCTCGTCCGCAGTGCGGCGCTTGCGTTTGGCTTTTGTCTTTGTTGGTTTTGCAGAGCGATATTTTTGCCAGAATTTTGCCGGCTGTGCAAAGTCAATTAAGCTGGGAAAGCGCGTGGCCAACGCCTGGCACATGCTGTCAAAGGAATGTTGTAGATCGGGGCCCATGACCGTTTGAAGGTTTCTATGTGTTTCCTCCACATAGCGCAGACATCGCTCCAATTGTTTTTGCTGCAAATGGAATGAATTTATACAGATTCTACTTTTATTTCCATATCAAAACTCACTGGGTCCTCCGTGTCCACACGCTTACGTCCACGCCCTCTCGCTGGTGCGGCACCTACAGCTGTTCCTGCTGCTGCTGCTGGTGCCTCTGCTTCCTGTTCACCTTCATCGCTATTCTCACCATCGGCACGGGCACCTTGCTGTTTGCTTTTACCCTTCGTGAGATAACAAATGCGACGCATAATGAAAAGCAGATCCTGGATGACGGCCAAGGCGTCGTTGGATTTCACAAATTCTTCGTCTTTGCTTTTCTCTACAAAGAAAGAGGTAACAAGGTTAAGCGTGACACAGAAAGAGCTGTCTTTTGGCTTACCCGCCAACAGCTTTAGTTGTCCAAAGTACAGCAGCAAAGTGTTTTCATCTATTGTGGACATAATGTGATTATACAGAAGCCGCCGACTTTTTACCATCTTGGCACCCTTCAGGGGCGACTGGTAGCGGGTGTTGATCGGTTCCACACCCTTCTGATACGCCTGACCATTGAGATAGAAAGGAGACTCTCTGAGACACTGCACAAACACCGTCTTCTCGTGCAGCCGTTTGTAGCGTATGAAGAATGCATCCGCCTCGCGTGCCACCTCAGCGTTGTCGTCCACCAGGGCGGCCAGCATGGATATGAGAATGGGTCCCTTTAGCTTAATAATGCCCGAGAGTATCACATCCTTCACACAGCGGAATGAGCGCACCCGAGTCATGGCAAACTTTGAATGCATTTTGGCCAGAATGCACTGGAAATTGCGCTCCAAAATGTTTGGATGTTTCTTTCCCAGATCATTGACGGCTATGAGTGTGGTATTAATGATCTGCGGCCGGTCGTTCTTCGTCAATATGATCTGATAGAGCTCCGATACTTCGTTGGCAAGTCGATGCTCGCGCAGACACAGACGTCCAGCTATCACAATCATCCAGTTGGTCATGCGTTCGTTGTCCGTGTCGAACTGGGATTCCTTCAGCTTGGTGCACTCTCGCAGGTACTTGAATACAATCTCCTTGACGCGATAGTCTACCGACTGCGGCAGCATCACCAAGATTTCCGTGTACGCGCCCAACAGGCACTGCAAACGCGTGTGTTCAGCCTGGAAATTTTGAGCACTGGCCACGATGTTCTCCGTGAGTTCATCCAGTAGAGTAAGCTGCCAGTTTGGCGAGGCATCGGAGCCAGCGGACGGTGCTTGACTATCGGACAAATGGTAGATTTGATTGATTAGATTGACGGCACTCGAAATGAGACCCAGCCAAATGTTGCCTTTGCGCAGAGCCTCGAGCAGACGCTGGAAAAGCTGATTTAATGCTGGCTTGGAGAAGTTGGACAGACAGCAAATGATGAGCTGCAGGGCCAGCACTTGATTGGCCTTCATGTTGTACGAAGAAAGCTCATTGAAACTGACAATCAGAGCATCCATGTTGTTGGTTATGCGGCTGGACAGAAGCAGCAACAGAACCCATGCATCCGTGTCCGTTGATGTGGATAAATGTGAAATGATTACCTTGATCAGCTGGGGTCTGTAAGAAATGGGAAATGCTATAAATTCCACACCGTTTGCTTGAAGAAACTCCTTTTGCTTACGTGACAATTGTTTCTCTTTCCAGCAGCATAGCGAAACGCTCCTGCAGATAGGCTCGTGGTTGTGTCATTGTCAGCGTACTAACAATACGCCAGGGCATAAAATGTTTTGGTTCATTGGAATAATCCATGGGTTGAATGTTCTTCAAAACAGTCTGATTGAAACTCTGCAAATGAAAGGAGCATTAAGATAGGCACCCACTGTGTTTATCTTGATGACTCTCGCTCACCTGAATGGCTAGCTTTTGCAGTGCCACATCCTCATCGCTGAGCAGACACGACCAAATTCGACAATAGACACAAATCAAAGCGAAGCAATTGGGATACGCCTCCAGCAGAGTTTCCATTAGTTCCAGCGCCGCTTTGCGCACCGAGGCAAGCCGATCCACGGCCAGGAGGCTGGTTTCTCGCACGAAATTCGTATTGTAAATGATAAGAGGATTGACCAGCACCAGGCGCTCGAGCAGAGCTATGCCCGAGGTGCGGGCCAGCCCATTGTCCGCCTCCAGAAAGCGCTCATAGATCATTTGAGGAAGATTCTTAACCTCCGTCTCCAGTTGTTCATAGCCCTCGAAACTATAGGCACACTGCTGTATGTCCGGCTTCACGAAACGCAGTTCATGCTGCTCGACAGACGGCTCAGCCAGGGTCTCCACATTGGTGGCATCGAACTGAACGAAACGGATGCTCTCCTCGAGTATTTTTCTGGTCGTGGGGGAGCCCTGCTTCAGGGCAGAGATGAGCACTTGGCAGGCCTTGCGGCGCACGCTGAAGGTTCTGTCGTTGAGGCAACGCATCACTTCAACCAGCAGCGGCACTTCGCGTGGCACCTTGGAGACATCGTAACGAAAAATGCTCCACTCGACTTCGGTTTGTTGGAGCAAGATGCGTTCGATAAGATCTAGGGCGCGGGTTTGGATGCCCACCGCATCGTCTGCCTTTACGGCTTCCAGGAGGTAATCTGCGCATGATTTATTGCATTTGGCATACAGAATGCTGTCGTATTTGGCCGCGTAGCCAATGGCAATCTTCTCATCGGCGGTTTTCCACTGCAAAACAAATGGCATTGTTATTCATTAAATTATACTTAAATTGTAATACTTAAATTTGTAATACTAACCGCCTTTAGAGGATTGGAAACCACACACTTAATATACAAGTGCAATATTTGTGCTAAGATGTCGGGATATTTCTCTATGAGCTGAATAAACCACTCCGATATGTGCTCGCCACTCTGCATCTGCCCGCCCCGTCGTCCGCTGCCAATGTTCTGTGGGCTGTCCGTGAATATGTGCATGGGAAATGATCGTTGCATTAACAAATGCAGTGTGTCATAGACTTCTCCATTGTGCTCGTTGGTTATTTCGTCAAATAGTTCGTAGCACTTGGCGTGCAATGCGGGAGCACCTGAAAATCGTTAAAAATTTAAATCAGTAATCGATAACAATACAGCTGACATTCGCAGAGTTGCCAAACTTCAACACATCAAGAGCTGTCACCGCGCCGAAAAACCCCAAAGGCAAGAAATTACTTATAATAATTGTGAAATAATCAACAATTGGATTTGTTTACAGGACTCATGTTAAGCTTATTTCTGCACAATGGAGGGGCAGCATCGAAGGGGCAACTGCGGTATGTGGCGACACGTCTTCTGTCCACTACAACAACATCGGAGCACTTTGATATCGTCATTGGAGGCGGCGGTCTAGTGGGCACCACTTTGGCTGCAGCTCTGGCCAAGAATAACACACTGGCGGACAAGAGGGTGCTGCTGCTGGAGGGCGCTGAAGAATTTAAGGGTTTCGATGCCAGTGGTCCGTACCAGAACCGTGTGTCGGCCATCAACAAGAACTCCATCGAGCTGTTCAAGTCGATTGGCGCCTGGTCGCACATTGAGGCGGCCCGCTACAAGCCCGTCAAGCAAATGCAGGTGTGGGAGTCCAACAGCGACGCGCTCATCCAGTTCCAGCACGACAACTTTGCCAGCGATGTAGCCTGCATCATCGAGAATGATTTGATCCTCGATGCGGTCTATACACGCGTCCGCGAGGCAGCCAATGTCCAGGTCCTCAACAAGGCGAGAATCGAGTGTGTCCGTTTGCCCAAGAATACAGGCGGCAGACACTCTGAGCTTAAGCTCCAGGATGGACGTTCCTTCACATGCGAACTGCTCATTGGCGCCGACGGAGCCAACTCGATTGTGCGTAAGCAAATGGGCGTCGATGTTTTCTCGATGAACTACGATCGCATGGGAGTGGTGGCTACACTGGAGCTTAACGACGATGCCTGTGATAACTCCGTGGCCTGGCAGCGCTTCCTGCCCAATGGACCGGTGGCTCTGCTGCCACTGACCGATAAACTCAGCTCCCTGGTGTGGAGCACCACAGTGTCACAGGCCAAGTATCTGAAGGAGCTGCCGCCGGCGGAGTTTGTGGAAGCCATCAACGAGGCCTTCTGCCGTCAGAATGCGCGCGTGGAGCTGGCCGACAAGGCTGTGCAGCTGCTCAACTCCTTCTTCGGCCAGCAAGCCACACAGCAGCAGGTGCAGTATCCCCCCCGTGTATGCGGCGTAAAGGATGGCTCTCGTGCGAGTTTCCCGCTGGGCTTTCTGCATGCCTCGTCGTATGTATCCACTGGTGCTGCACTGGTGGGCGATGCCGCACACCGCGTGCATCCGCTGGCCGGCCAGGGCGTCAATCTGGGCTTCAGCGATGTGCGCTACCTCGTGGAGTCGCTGGCCGCTGGCGCCTATGCCGGCTTTAAGCTGGGCGACACGCAGCATCTGATCAAATACGAACGCAAGTGCCTGGCCAAGAATGTGCCCATAATGCTGGGCGTTCATGGCCTGCACAAGCTCTACTCCACCGAGTTCAGTCCCGTGGTGCTGCTGCGAAGTCTGGGAGTTCAACTCACACAGAATTTGCCACCCATCAAGAACTTGTTCATGAAGGGGGCCATGGGTTAAAAGGAAAAAGGGGAACATTTACATTTTAAGCGCTTAAAGTTTTATAGTACGAAATAAAATCGAGTTAATCGAGTCAATGGTCAGGTTATAAAAACACTTTTAAAGAGTTATGTCAATGGTTTTGCTTAGTAATCTGTTGTTCAGATTAGATACTATAGATTTACGTTGTGCAAATAGTTTGTGCTATCTTTTCCTTTGCATTCTCTTGCTCGGAATGTTTTTTATATGTGTTTTGCAATTCTCTGGGGTTCTCTTTGCCGCCTTCGCTTGTGCGTGTTGGGCATCAATGTGGAAGAGCGATGGTATCTAGGATTACGTGATTTTTCCTATTATAAACAAAACTTACAACTAATTTTTGATCATTTGTTGCTTAATAGTTTTTTCTGTTGGTGGAGACGTTTTAAGGCACGTTTTTGGCGTTTTTCTTTGAATATTCATTAGAGAGCTTCCTAGAGCTCTTGGTGGCTTTTGCCTGGCAGCACATTGGGCAAACTTTCGCCCAGTTTTAGCGGCTGCTCGAGCAAACCCTCGTCGCCCTTCTTCTCAAAGACTTGCTCGCGATCGCTCTTCAGACGCGCCACACCTTCAGTGGCTTGCACATTTATCTGCTGAGAGTCCTCTGTGTCCGAAATGTAGCCAGATTCTCCAGTGTAGTGTATGGGATAGAGCAGCAGTGGAGCGGCACTCAAGGCGATGAGGTCACGCTTCTCAAAGGCAGCGGTCCAGGTCTTGTTGGGATGGCGATCGAACATAACCGGCAGGAACTCATCAACGGGTATAAGTTTCTCGAGTGGTTTGGCCGCGAGCAGCTTCAGGGCACCTTGGAGCGAGAGTACATAGCCGAGGGTCCAGTAGGAATAGCCGGCATGAACGAGACTATCGGCATCGGCCACCCAGGGTTCGCTCTCCTCCTTGAGACGCTTGCGTCCAAAGTAGATAAGATCGTACTCCACCACGCTCCTCGCCTGATTGAGCACACGCACGGCATTGGCCCGGAAATACGGATCGAAGCGTATGTCGTCCTCGAGGATGAGCACTTCCTTCAGTTCGAGCTGCACCATTCGCACCCAGATGCGGTAGTGGCTGAGGAAGCAGCCAATCTCGCCCATAGTCATGGCACGATGATGGTAGGGATCCTCGTACCCAGGCAGGAATCGTATTCCCATCTCATGCACACGCTTCACATTCAGTTCTTTGCCATCAACGGCGGGAAAGTGCTCCACCTGCAGTCCGATTTCCTCAAACAGATTCTCCATCTTTTGACGCCTCTCCGGGCGACGTTCCAAATTGATCATGAAAATGTGATCGAGGGTCAGCTTCGTCTTCTCCGGCTTCGTGATTAGATGCTGAAAGTAGTCCAGGACAGGCGGCACTGCACCCAAATCGCTGACCATGCTGGATCTGATGTTTAATAGCATTTGCAGGTCCTGTTCCAGGGTGTCCCCTGGCTCAAGCGGCTGCAGGATGTAGCCAAAGGTCAGCTCATTGCAGACGTGCAGGGGAATTCCTGAGCTATTGGCAGACATGGCAAACACAATGATATCATCCGCGGGGCCGTCATAGAGCGGCTCTAACTGTTGACTCTGCTGCACGTCCCGCAAACGTTGACGATCGAAGGTAAGATTCCGGGCACCCTTGTGGTTCATGTCCACCAGCACGGCCGTGTGGACCATTGGCACTGGGAAGCTGCCCTGTTTTTTCATATGATAAATCTCCTTGTACTCGTCCGTGCGCTGGTAGTAGTACTCCTCCGTCATGCCACACCAGAAGTTCGAGTACAAGCTCTCCGACAGCAACATGGGTGCCACAATGGGCAGGCGTAGGGCCGTGAGCTTACGCAGTGCCTGCTGCGATGTTAGTAAGACATCAGCATCGAGGAAAAACACAAAGTCAGCCCAAATATCGCGGCCATAAGCGAGCGCCTCCTCTTTCAGGGCAATCACATGCTTGAAACGCGACACTGTCCAGTCGTAAGGGGAGCTCTCGTTCTGATAGCCACGCGGCCCTTCGCTGTCAAAGGCGTAGTTCACGCTGTGATAGAGATCTGCAGAGTGCTTCAGCCACTGCTTCAGCAGCTCAACGCTCTCATCGCTGCTGTGATCACAGCGTAGCCTGGGATGACAAATCGGTTGAGAGACAAACTCATGCTAATGTTGGTTTTGCTTACCAAAAGGCTATGCGTTCCTTGGGATAGTCCTGCTGCTGCAAGTAGCTGAGGAACATGGGCAGAATGTGAGCCTTGTTGCGCACCAGCAGTGCCACGAGCACTGTCGGTGGCTGATACTCATTTTCCACAACCTCATCCTCGCCGTAGATGCACACAAAGGCGCAGGCCAGGAGGAGGCCAAAAAACACTTGCTTCTTCAACATTTCCACGTCATTAGATGCCACACATCGTCTGTCGGTAGGTTTAAGGAGGTCACACTCGCGCTCGCACACGCACTATCTTCTGCTACAGCGGAATCAGCATCAGCGTCTGTTCTGTTTGGATTGATGCTGGAGAATACGAGAGTTCTCTTATCTATTTATAAACGACGGCGAGCGTTTAATGTCCCAGCATCGAGCGGCGTCCAGCCTCCCTCCCTCCTCCTCACCTCTTCCTCCAGCAGCACCCGCTCTACAACCAACATATGGCGCTCTCTCTCTCCCCAGCGATAACATATCTATCGCTCTCAAACTTCAACCAACCAAACAGCTGTGTGTGGGTCGTTGGAATTTTGAATGTATTCAGTATTCTGAATAGAAGTGAGTGTATTCCTGACCCGCATTAAACAAAACAGATTTACAAGCGTTATACGGGAACTGGGTTCAGAGAGACCTCTTATCCAACCATCCTTAGCTACACACGTGACTATACAGGACTTAGGTATGAGCACAGCAAAACAATTTCAGTTTACTGATCTTTTAAGGGCATTTCCTTTTCGATTTTTTTAAGGAAAATGAATTGAATCCAACAAACGATTAAATTGTACTCAATACCGAAGAAACATTCGAAATTGTGAAATTTTCCATACGCAACCTCCAGGATCTTGATAACGGGATAATGGGCGTTGGACGTGTTCTCTTGTTCTGGCAAACCAGTGTTTGAGAGACCTCTGCTTTTATAGTGCATTTAAAATTGTAAGCCCAATTGTGTAACAAATATTTATTTCTTATTAACAAAGAGGTAAGAAAAGTATTCCCTAGGCAGTCGCCGCATGGGGCTTAGCATAGCTGGGGAAGTTCAGTTGCAGACCCTCTTTGGCCTCAAAGAACGTGTAGGACAGGGTGATGGTGTCGCAATACTCTAGCGCCGGATCTTGGGTTATTTCGGGATCAATGTAGAAGAAGACGGGCATGTCCACCTCCTCGTGTGGATTTAGCTGCTGCTCCTCGAAGCAAAAGCATTGGATTTTGTTGAAATACGCGCCAGCCTCGAAGGGGATCACATTGTAGGTGCTAATGCCAATGACGGCCTTGTCCGTGGGATTTCTGGCCGTGTAGAAGGCCAGAGCAGTCTCACCGGGTGCCACCTTGATTTCGTGCTGCTGCGGCTTGAAGTTCCAGCGCATGGAGGAGCCAATGTCCGCATTGAAGCGTATTTTGAGCACACGATCGTTCACTTTCACCATATGCTCCACCTTTTCAGCGTCGTGGCCCTGCGATGTGGTCCCGCCGTAGCTGTAGGCCTGGCAGAAAATGCTGTACAGCGGCACGGCCGCATAGCTCAGGCCCACAATGAGCACTCCGCCGGCTGTAATGTAGTACAAGGTACTCTTGGCCCGCAGCTTACGTGCCGCCTCGCCGGGGGAATCGGTCGATTTCATCCGAATGCGGCATGGAAATATCTGTTGTGGTCGTTGTCCACTGTGATGGGGCGTGAATGATCTCCTCAGCAGTTGCTGGCTCTGCCCACGCACGGCGAAAAGGGTGCGCAGCATTTGAAACTATTATACCGCGTTGTCTAGGGAGTAAATTCTAGTTGTTTTCATCTAAAAACCACTGTTTGTATAATCTCTCCAGGCACTTGATACGTTTTAGTGTGTACACACCAAGTTTTATCAGCTGTTTGACAATAAACTAAACCTACCGAGCTATCGATATCCATTTGCCGCGCTCCTAGTGGGCAACAACAGGAAGATTGGTCTTAAATTTTTGTTTTGAACTTACGTGCATTTTGATAGCCCCTTTGGAAATTCATGTAAAGAATCTCCAAGAGGCATCGGATAATCTTGTCCCGTAGCTTGAGATGCTCCTTGAAGTGCACATAGCGAAAGACCAGCTTCATGTCATCGCATATTGTCAGAAAGAGCATCCATATTGTGTCGGCAAAAACGCTGCGGTTCGTATTCTGCTCAAGCAGGCTGAACAGCTTTAACAAGTGCTCGATGACGTCCTCGTCAAAGATGGCATAGCGCTTGGCCCCCGGAATGGTGAGTGTCAGCAGGTACGTGCTGGCCGCATTCAGGGACAGCTGTAGGTTGAGATTCTGATTGAGTACACCGGGAGACGCCTCCAGTATGTTCGCGGGCGTAATGGAGAGGCTCACGACGGTGTAGATGTACGAGAGATATGCACTGGCTGGGGAGACACTTATAATGTTCGACCAGTTGTCGTGGGTATTGCTGTAGCTACTGCTGATGTCATGGCGCATCGACCGAATGACGCCCGCCAATTCCCGAAGCGTCTGCAGTTGGCTCTCCTGCTGGCGGCTATCTTGGCCACAGATCGACAGCGACCAGAACTGGCGGGCGCCCTCACTGCCTTCATCCGCACTTGCTGTCTCGCCGTACAGCCACTCCTCGACATCGACCCACTGCAGGCGGGGCACATAATTCGCGCTTAAATCACTGAAAATACTATTCAACTCGGACATTGTTTACATTTTTCTGATACTGCCACTATCGATAAGCGACACAAAACTGTGATGGCTATCGCAACGAAAAGATATCGAGTGCACACAGATGCACATGCAGGCGGTTGACATTCAAAGTGGGGGAAGAGGAAAATGCAGAGTTGATATATTAATGCATTTACTTGGCTTATTATTATGCAATTTTGTTGTTTTGTGGATACATACTTAATTTCTAATTCCACTGCAGTGTGCATAGCAACCATTGACAGCTAGAAATCCAACGAGGCGGAGGCATTGGAATTGATCAACACGTTGGACCCGCACTTGGGCGAGGGCATAATATCATCAGCAGCCATCGCAGACTGTGCATTGGCAGGCGACTCCTGCAGCTCGGGCGGCAAATGGAACCGCTCGATAACAAACTTCTTGCGGCGCAATTTAAAGGCCAGATCTGTAGTCTCCGGCATATGCACGGCCAGGGTGTTCAATGCCGACATCTTGTGCAGATGCAGCAGGCCGCTGTACTCCTTAAAGGCTGGGTGTGTCTCCCGCTCGGAGCCGGCAAACGACTCCAGTTCGATGGCGTAGTCCACCAGTTGACGTATCTTGGGCACTAGACTGGCATCGTACTTGGCAATCAGATGCATGGGCATCGTTATAAGGCAAACCGAGTTGCAGTTGCGCACGCTGGCCATGAGCAGCGTCAGAAACTTGAGCATATCCTCACCAAAGTTGTCGTCGTACCACAACGGTGAGCCCAGCGAGGTGAGGCACACGCGGCAAAGGTGCTTCTTGGTCCCAGTGATGAAACTCTCGTCGCGCAGCTGCTGCTGAATATCGTTGAGCAGGCCGCCATAGCGGGTATTATGGAAGACATTGTGGGGCCAAACGGCTGGCTGGCTGCCCGTTTTCGTGCTGCTGGTTACGGTGGTGGTGTTGTTGGCAGTGTTATCTGCGGTCGCTGCGGCATTATTGTCCAACGATTTAATATCGGCATCGGCCTCAACATTGGCTTCGGGTTCAGTCTCGACAGCCGCCGACTCCTCGCCCATAGCCTCGGCCATGGGCTGCTGCTCCATGGAAATGGATGGAGAGCTGCTCTTGGATAGTTCTCCATCGCCAATCCAGTTGTCTTTGTGGCTATCATCCCAAATGACGGTGCTGGCATAGTACAGCATTCGCGAGTCCATCTGCTCCATAAGATTGAAATGATGCCCGATCTTGGCCGTGGCATGCTCAGAGTTCACCAACGGCAAGTCGTTGTAGCGCCAGGCGATTCTTAGTCCATTTTCGGTTGTCTCGCCCGTCTGCTCACTGGCCATCTGCTCCTCGCGCTGTTCCACTTCGGTCAGGGGACGGGGCAGGCGGCGCAACATCTCCGCGGGGATGTCGTCGAGGCTGCCGAGAAATATTTCCTGCTTGGAGAGCACACCCTCGGCCAGGAAGTACTTGGCCAGCACTTTGGCATGGGTCATGAAGCGATCCTCTTCTATCAGGCAAATCGAGCCCACGGGCAGGCCGCCGCCGATTACCACGTCAAGATACGGATTACCGCTCGAAGTTATTATCTGGGCGGTGTGGGGGCTGGTGCGAGTGCCCGGGATGGGCTTTTGCACAGTGCGTTTGCGAAAGCTGGTCATCTTTTCTTTTGTACAATCAGAATTAACCTTCTTTTTTAGCTTCTCCGATTCGTGTAAACTTGTGCAGACAGTAGGGGCACTCCTGCAGGAGCGTAATAATATCGATATCGAGCCCAGCTGTTTGCTTTGTATGCGAATGCATTTGAGATGACACTATTGTAGTAGGGGTACCATTGGGCGTACACGACACAGCTGTTTGGTTGGCAAAGTTACAAATTCACAAAGTTATAGGAAAATAAAGGACAAACAATTGATAATATATCTATAATCCCGCCATGGCCACGAACTCCGAAGTGGCGTCGCCGCAGATGACGGAGCAGCTGGACAATGAGGAAGTGAGGGAAATACTGAAAAACACCACCGATCTGCGCCAATACTCGCGACAGATTGAAAAGGAATTCAAAGAAGTGGAAAATAAATCCATCGAGGGTGGGTATTGGATTATAAGCCATATTTGCAACCAAGTTCAATGAGTCATTCATTTAGATTACATTGCCGAGTCCCAGAACATTGCGAATCTGCACAATCAAATCAACGACTGCGACGATGTGCTGGAACGTATGGAGAATATGCTAATGAGCTTCCAGAGCGTGCTGAATAACATCAGCACCGAAATCACACAGTTGCAACGTAAATCCGTGTCCATGTCGCTGCAGCTGACCAACCGACAGTCAGTGAAGGCGCAGCTCTCGCAGTTCATTGAGGACATGGCCGTGTCCGAGGAGATGATAACCATCATTATGGAGACACCAGTCACGGAGCGTGATTTCAGCAGCCAATTAAATGTGCTCAACCACAAGCTGTCGCTGGTGAAGGAGCTAAGCTTCAAGGAGTCCAAGTCCACCAGCGATGTGAGCGATGTCCTGCACAAGTTGCGGCTTCGTGCCATGACAAAGATTCGCAGCTATTTGCTGGAACAAATCTACAAATTCCGCAAGCCCATGACCAACTATCAGATACCACAGAATGCCATGCTAAAGCATAAGTTCTTTTTCGAATTCATTCTGTCCAATGAGCGGCAAGTGGCACAGGAGATATGCAGCGAGTACATCGACACCATGGGCAAGATCTATTATAGTTATTTTAAGGTATGTTTCATGACATTTGGGAGCACTTATTTATTAGTTCTAAGAACCATTTCCTTGCAGAGTTATTCTACCCGTTTGACTAGTCTCAAATTCGAGGAATCCTGCACAAAGGATGATCTAATGGGCATTGAGGACAATGCCTCCAAAGGGTTGTTCTCCAAGACGACCAGTTTGAAGCACAAGAGCACCATCTTTACCATTGGAAAGCGCGGCGACATCCTTAACCAGCAGCTGGAGGCGCCCATCATAGTGCCGCATGCACAGCTAAAGAATCGCGTGAGATTTTGCACCGTTGCAGGCTGTTACTTTGAAATTGAAGTTCATTTTTCTATTGCAGTATACATCAGAGGCGCTGTTCCGCTCCGAACAATATGCGCTGGTGGATAATGCATGTCGGGAGTATCTGTTTGTCACCGAATTCTTTATGGTGCGCGGCAGCCAAGCGCAGGATTTGTTCAACCAGATTATGGGAAAAACTTTAACGCTGATGATTGTAAGTCAATTCTGAGTGGCAACCCAATGGAATTAATGCTTTTTGTTTTGGGAACTGTTTAGAAAACCCTGGAGACAGCTATACACGACTGCTATGATACCATAGCCATGTTCCTGTGCATCCATTTGATATTCCGCTATCAACTGATGTGCCACAAGCGCTGTGTGCCGGCCCTCGATAAGTGAGTTTTTATCTTTTCTAGATACGGATTTAATCAGAGCTTGTTAACAGATATTGGGATTCGCTGCAATCGGTTATTTGGCCACGATTAGAGCATGTTTTTCGGCTGAACATACAGAGCATCCATGACTGTGATCCCACCAAATTCAACAAGGAACTAGGACCACACTATGTATGCCTTACGACTTATGACTGTGACTGTGACTGTGCCTAACCCTTTCTTTGCCTTGCAGATAACACGTCGCTATGCGGAGTTTAGTGCCGCCATTGTGGGCATCTCGGAGCATTTTCCCAACGAGCTGGTCAGCCGTCTGCTGTTGGAGCTGCAGAATGAGGTGGAGTGCTTCATTTTGCGCATGGCTGCCATATTTCCCACACGCAAGGATCAGCTCATTTATCTCATTAACAACTACGACCTGGTCCTGGGCGTGCTGATGGAACACACGCGCGACAACTCCAAGGAGGCGGAAGCCTTCCGCGAGCAACTGAACGCCCGCAGCAATGAGTATGTGGAGGAAATACTAGCCCCACACTTCGGCGGCATTATACAGTTTGTCAAGGAGTGCGAACACTTCTTTGAGAAGGAGCAGATGGATGAGCTGCGCAAGCAGGAGCGACGCAGCCTTGCTCTGGTGGCCAGCTTCTCGGCCAACTGGAAGAAATCGCTGGAGGAGCTCAATCGCGAAGTACTTTTGTCATTCCCCTCGCTGCTGACAGGATCACAGCTGCTGCAACTGGCCCTTGCCAGTCTGGTGCAATACTATCATCGCTTCCACAAGCTGCTCACGCCCAATGCGCGCGCTCAGTTGACCAACATCCATGTGGTAATGGTGGAGATAAAAAAGTACAAGAGTAATTACTGAGGGAGAGTAAGGGGGAGGAGCCTTTAATTAGTGCTCAATAAAGTTATTTAAGTAAAAGACAGCAACTAATCCTCATCTTCGAACATCATCTCGACGAGATCCTTGTTGGAGCAGCGCTCGCCATCCAGGCGCTGTGGCTGCTTCCAGCGCAGCAACGTGGGCAAGAAAATCAAATGTGTATTGGGATCCTTGCGGAAGGGACAGTTCAAATCCTTCCAGCTAAAAGAATTAGAATACAAATTAGGTTATTGTTTACGCTTTATGACGATAAGGTGGAAACTAAAGTGCCGATTGCCACTCATAAAAAGCGTATCGCTGATCGCCTGGAAATTGCGTTTATCTTGAATGTTCTCGACTATGTGTGTATTTCATCACATTATATACTTACTAGGCGCGCTCGCCCACATCCACATGCACAAAGTGCGAATTGTCGGGGGCCTTCTTCAAAGCATCGTGTATCACCGGCTCAGCTGCAATAAAAGTTGCGTCGTTTGGGAATGAATAAATTAATTGGTGGGTTAGTCGGCTTCGCGGTAAACCACAAAGGGGCTGGGCCATTGACTCACCCTTGACACAGTATGGGCACCAGCTTTCGCCGTTTTCATCCTTGCCTCCGCTGAACAACACATGAACCGCATTGTTGCCGGTCTCCAGCTCCTCCATCTTCTTGGCGAACTCCTCCCAGCCCTTTACGTTGTGTGTGACGACCATAATTTTACTTGTATCCGCTTTATTAACACCGACCGCGTATGTGCGTCTAATTAGGCGACCGAATAACTTTGTGAGCGACGTGATGGAGCACTTTTAACTGGCTTTTGGATTAAATTTGTTCTTGTGTTATTCGTTTTTGTTGTAAAGCGATAGTCTGATGACAGCTCTTAGAGATGTGACTGCTATGTTTTCAATAGTTTTATGTCTGGTTAAAACACAGAACTGAACGGTTTACTTTCAATAAATTTTATTTTAGAAGTTATATTATATATTTTATCAGAGTTTTCTAGATGTAAATTCAATTTTAAAATGTCGTAATACCCATGGCATTGCTATCGATGTATCGATACGAATATCAGCTGTTCTCAATTATTAATTCTTATAAAACTGCTTTTATTTACATTGATATTGGTTTAAAGCTTAAACAATGTCACGATTAGCTTTATTGCGCAATTTAGTCTTCCACAGACATAACCTACTGCCCAGAGCGGTGCCACGCCTGCAATGTGCTGCATCGCTGCATCTGACCCGCTGCCTGCGACAGGAAGCGTCGCGCGGTTTGTAATTGATTGAATGCAGTTATATTTACAGTAATGAGTTCCTTATTCATGCATTCAGGCGGTGGTGGCGGTGCTCTACAACAGTCGAAGGGTGGTGCCGATGTCTCCACGGATGTACGCCCCATTGGCGAGAAGATCAAGGAGAACACCAAAACGGCCAGCTATACTGCAATCATCTTGGCAGGTCTGGGTGTGACCGGCATCATGTTTTATGCCATTTTCCGCGAGCTCTTCTCCAGTGAAAGCCCCAACAACATCTATGCCGATGCCCTGAAACGTGTTGTTAATGATCCCCGGGTGCAGGATGCCATAGGAGCACCCATCAAAGGCTTTGGCGAGACATCGCGTCGCGGACGTCGCCAGCATGTGGCGCACTCCAGCTACGAGCGCCACGGCAAGCCGCACATGAGAATGCAGTTTTATGTTCAAGGCGTTAGGAACAAGGCCACCGTGCAGCTGGAATCGAGAAGGGTAGGAGGAATATATATTTAATAATAATAATGATAATAATCCAATACTTTCCACAGTCCTGCCCAGGTAAACTGGAGTATCGTTATCTGTTTGTGCAATTGGATCATTATCCCCGTACCACCATCGTGCTGGAAGATAATCGTGCCCTTGATTCCATACCCGAGCCAGAGACTGCCCCTGCCACATCTTCTTCGTTTGGAAGCCTGGCCCTTTTGTCCAATAGTCAGGACAAATAGGGGATTTTTTATTATGTTCTGCACTGCACTTAAATTCTCTGTATAGTTGTATTTATTATTTGACTGACAATGAAAAATGCCATTGGAAAATCCCAGTTGTCGCGCAGCACTCACTCGCCAATCGAGAAGTTGTCCATCTCCAGAATGGCGCCCGACTCGTGTCAGTAGAGCTTCTTCCACGGTATGATCTCCCAGGAGCGTATGATGTGGCGTCCAAAGAGAAAGTCCTTCAGCTTGTTCATGATGTAAAAGGAGATGCCAAAGAATGAGGCAAAGTACAGCCAGAATTGCCCGAGGCGCTCCCAAATGCTCAGATGATAGCGCGCCGGAACCTGCAGCACATCCAGCTCCAGTTCGATGCTCAGGCCTGGGTCCACGCGTGGCGACGTTGGGCGGTAGTAGGTCTCCTGAATGGATAACTGGAAGTAGGCTGGATTGGCTTTGACCTGGGCCATCAGGGATTCCATTTTGTACTGCGACATGTCCACATGGCTGGCGTTCGTCTGCACCTCGACGGGACGAAACTTGGTCTTTATGTTGCGCCCAGGAAAGGGACAGGTGAACTCAACGTACTGCTTCAGCTGCAGCTCACCCTTGAGCTGAATGCGACCGTTGCGAAAGCGACCGGACACTGGCAACTGGAGCTGATGCGACAGCACCGAGGGCGGTGACAGATCGCATTTGTGCTGCAGACGGGCGTCGAAGAAGAGCAGCAAATCAAAGTGCATCAGGCGTGCCGGAATATCCTGTAGTTCCAGCTGGAAGTGTGCCCGATCAGTGACCGTATCATAATCCACATCCTCTGTCCAGTACTTGCTGGCTGCACAGCTATTGGTGTATTGGCTCATCTGAGTATTGAAGTAGCTGAAGCTGCTGCATGCGACCAACGATTCTGCCTCGCCATCATCTCCTGGCTCTGTGCTGCCCACAAATATATACTGGTAGTTGTACACCACGTTAGGCTGCTCGTACAGCACCCGTGACTCGGATATGCCCGAGTACGGGCTGAGTAGGGACACCAACAAAACGGGCAGCATCACCGACAGCGCCACGAAGACCAGGACCAGCAGCGAAGCGAACGAGCACAGCGAATTTTTGTACACGATCGCCGTGTTGGTCGTATGGAGCGGAATGAATCTCATTTTGGATAACAACTTTTCACCCAATCCGAATTTCTCTCACTTCACTTGCTGTCTGTCCACTTTGACACTTGTCAATCGGTTGGTTTGTTGTGTGAGTCGTTTCGTTGCACTGCTGCCTGGCAACCAACGTTCACTGCTTGTCGTGGAAATTCAAACGGTGCGCCCTGCACTGCTTGTACTTACACCTTACCTACACGACAGTTACATGGCAGGTAGACAAGGCGCCACCTGGCTGTGCTTCAAGTAAAATCCGTTGTGTATGGAACATTTTACATGTAGTATACTTCACATTTCCATGGTCTAAAAATAATTTACAATAAATTCAAATTGGAGTAACTGTCTGACACTGTATTGATGGAGTAAATTATATAACTTGGAACCAAAATACCATCTAGTTTATGCATAAAATGCATAAAAACCTCTTAGGAAGACTCAACAATATTTTTCTTACTTCCATCTCCCACCTGCTGTTTAGGCAGAGAAGAGCATTTGTTTTGTTCATCGCTGCCTTTTAAGCCACCTACAAGTATTTCCGTATTAGGAATCCCTTTTCATTTCGCTGCACAGAAGATGACTGCTGAATCACTCTATTAGCCATGGCCACTCCAGACTTGCACCCTCCTCCAGCCTCCTCCAGAGCCCAGTAAAGGCTCAAGCTTATGCCTTGGCCCAGGGCACATCCGTTCCGTCTTTAAGCTGATGCTGAAAAAGTATTGATTGCACATAATTATAGGATTTCGATACGAGGCGAACAGAGAGGGCCATGCCAGGCCGCCTTCGAGCTTCATCTTTGAAAAAAGTGAAAAGTGAACCTGCAAAAGCGCGGGGAAAAGGTGGGCCAAAGAAGAGTAATAAATAAAGAACGGTCGCACTACTTGACCAACATTTGCTCATAATTAAGACCGACAACTGGTTTCGAGCAATGCTTGCCACTCACCCCTTGGAGTGCTTTCGTGTGCACCGCATAAAAATCGGAAGTTGCAGCTTTGCATTTAATGCGCTTATTTTAAAGAGTGTTGAAAGCGGAGCGCACTCAAAAAAGACTATATAAATAAATGGAGAGTAGCAAGAGGAGTGCTAAATGAGGGAAACCAAATGGTTAAATATATTTTGAGAAAGTTAATGCAATATTGGGAGGGGAGAAACTCAATTGGCAAGTGATGGGTCACCTTCATGCTGGTTTCGTGATTTTAGAGGATGTTTAACTGGGCTCCTAATGAAGACTTTCCCACCCACTTATCACTTTCGAAAGTTTCCAAAAAAGTTTGTCTTAAAACTGAAGAAAACTCTAAACATTTGATGGCTGTATTCACTTCACCTGCGGCAGCGTGACATGTCAGGATGGCTTTGAAGTTTTTCTGATTTGTTCTTTGACTTTTGTTGTGACATGTGCTTTTCTGTGAATAATAAAAACGTTTGGGTAAAAATGATGGGCATGGCGTGGCACAACTAAGAAAATGTACAAGAAGGCAGCCAAACGATGAATAAATGAAAATATATTCCGATTTGACGGCTACATACAGCTCTTTGACAGTTGGACAGATTGGGACTGAAATTAGTTTGACTGACTCCTCATGGCAGAGAGTCCATTTCGAAGCATCCTTGCTTAGGCTTTAAGCAGCTTAAGAATTAAGTCCGCGTAGGAAGAAAAGCTACCAGAAAAATCAATAATTTTCCTGCATTTTCTTTTTCCGCACGAACTTTTTTGGTGTCTCCCCCACATTGCCACGCCATTTTACAGAAAAAAAAAATAAAAGGAAGTAGCAAAAGAAAAAGAAAAATGAAAAGAAAAAGAAAAAGAAAAAAGAGAAGCCAAGATGGCGGGCAGACAGACGGAGAGGATACACACGGACACACACACGGATGGGGATACGGCCAGAGTTGGCATTCAGCGCACGGCCCCAGGACAATGCCAGCTCTGGGCCCATATATCCTTTTTCAACGAAATTTCAGCTTTCACTCGTTTCGCGTACGTGACCGTGTTGCCACCAAGGAGCTGTTGAAGTGGCAAATTCGCACAGCGCCACCAAGAGCATGAGCAGTAGGAGGAGGAGAAGGAGCAGAAAGTGGAGGGAGGCTGCTGGCAGAGTAATGGCTCTCAGGGAAGGAGAGGCGAGGGTTGAGGGCAGAGAGCCTGTGCGCCAGGTGGGTTGCGGGGGTGGTGGCAAAAAGTAGCAGTTTATTAGGCGCACCAAATTAACATAGGACTACTAATGACTGCGAAGGCAAACTAACTAAGCGGCAGAGAACCCACGAACTGGCATAAAAGGGGGAAGCAGCTGTGGGTTCTGGGAGTTTCCTTTTAAAATGGGCAGAATGCAGTCACTTCTGACGATTCCTAAGCATGCTATATGGCATCATTTTTATGAAAATAATATAAAGATAATGATCAAACGCTTTGTTCTAAATCTAATCAAAAGAAGGAATCATTCGCGAGCCAAAGTCTTTCGGCTGCACCACTTTAGGGATATGGGAAGTGCTTTCTGTGGAGCAGTTATTGTCTGCACAAACTTGTACGCATTTCTCCGATCGGCTAGCTATTGCATTATTGTTTCCTAGCAAAAAAAAATACCCATACATAACTCACCAAAAAACCAACGAGCGTTCAACGTTCCAAGCTGAGAAGTTGTTCACCGACAAATTATTACAACGCCTGCGCGGATTTACATTCTTTTCGGTGGGTGTTCCCCTCTGAGGCAGGCCAACCCCCTTTTGCTGTTGGATGCTGGAACAAAAAGGGGAAAT